CCGCTCCCGGGTGGGTGCTCCGCGGCGGCGTTTGGGCCTCCAGCCCCCAGGGGCACCTCGGGGGGAGGTGTGGAGGCCCCTCGGGCAGCTCAGGGTGTGAGGCCCCTTCTGCAGCGCCCGGGTTGTGTCAGGCGGGGGAGCGGCACCTCCCGAGCCGGCCCCTTCATCCGCCCCTCGCAGCAGCCTGTCCCTGTCCCCCCTGGGGACCTTGGGGGTCTCAGCCTGCGTGGCTTTTGTGAGAAGACCTCATCATCCACGATGATGAGCCGCTATCAAAAGGCCAGATCCTCACTCCTTTTGCAGAGCTCTGCTTTTCATTCGGGAACGTTATTCTTGCCTTGTAATAATTCAAATAAAAAACATCTTTCACATCGACCCAGGCAAACTTTTTTTCACATGCTGGCACTTGTGGATCCCACACTCCAAGACCTTTTCAAGGTAGATATCTAAAATAGTTCAAGATTATGCTTCAGGTACCAAAACATTGGTTCCCTGTTAAACATGGCAATCTTGCCTTTTCTGTTTCTTGGAGTAAACTTCGGCACTCCAGAATCACGGAAACCCAAAAACCCTTTGTCCAAAGCTAGAAGTGTAGATCCTTATATTTCCATCAGGCATGCATATCTCTTCAATGTATTTCTGCTTAGAATACATTTAATGGAAAGAAAATTAGGCCTATGTTTTGATTATTTTATTTCATGAATTAGCATTGCACTTGGAAGTTTCCCATACTTTGTAAGCAAACAGTTACGCGATAAGGGTCTTAGTGTAATTATTCTTACGGGTGTTTGGTGGGTTTTTTAGAGCAATTAAGGCTGTGAAGCATTTCTTTTTGTGGACTGTCAGACTGAGCAATACTCACAGTCTTCTGGGCTGTCACCTTTTGTTCCTCTCTGTTCTGGGACAACTGTCTTTGTAGCGGTGTGTTGAACTTGACTGGGAATTGATCTGGCTGAAAAAGCCTTCTCTCCGTAAAAGGGTGGTTTCCATCTGGATGAGTTCTCTGATGAAGTTCATGTTAAAATGTCTGCAACGAGCAGTTGTAGGGACACAGGGCAGGGACTTCGGAAGGGGAAAGAAACAGCTGGGTGGCCTCTGTGCAGGCATAAGCAGCTCTTCCGTCAAACGTGAAACTCCCCCTGGGTTCTAAAAGTTGTATTTTCCCCCCCCCTTATTTTTTTCTTCTCCTTTCCCTGAAGCTGTTACTTCCTAACCAAGATGAATGCACGCTTACAGATGTGCTTCATTACCTTTCTGCTCTACTGCTCAGAGCAGTCCTTGGTTTACTTGAACTGGAAGACGACTCATAAGAGAAACATAACATTTGGATTGAAACAATGAGAAACAGTGACATTTTACCCAAAATATTTCAAAATGGTAAAACTATAGAATTAAGACTTTCTTGTTTAGGTAGGAAATGTGTTTTAAGGACTGTTTGTAGCAGCACTCATGTAATTGAGGTACTGGCTCTGGCAACTATGTGCTGCTGTGCCGCTCGGTTCCCTGTTTACTCACGGGCCTTTCGTACCCTGAGCAGCTGCAGTAATTACCGGTGTGCTCGCATAACAGTCAACTGTAACTTGAGAGAAAGCCTATTGAAATAAGTATTCATTTTCATTGCCTCTTTTTTCTCCTTAGGTAATTCTAGAAGCTATGGACATACTCTTTAGAATAAGAGGAGGCTTGGATCTTGCGTTTCAGCTAGCAACTACTGATGGTGTGTCTATAAGACTATAATAGATTTCTTAATGAAAGGTTATTTATATAAATGTTAATTAACTAGCTGTGATGTTTATTTTCATGGCATTTCACCAGATGTTAAGTGCTTCTTCCCAAACCCCTAAAGATTATGTCCAAAAAATTTTATTCTTTATCTCCATTAATTTTCTGACAGTCTTTTTCCACTGTATGTTTTTTATTTTAATTTGAAGTAGTTTAAATTGCCATTTTTAGGTCATTTTATTTACATATTTTTCCTGCTTATGGATATGGTATTGGGATCACTTTTCAGTTTGATCCCAAAGTTGACCCTGAAATTCTAAGCAAACAGAGAATAATTTAATGACAATGAATTTGGTTATAACAGGATTACATTAATAATACAGTTTTGAGATTGTGGTCTAGTCTTTCTAGAGTAATAGAGAAGATGAACAGGCTAACTAGTTACTCTACTGAATTTAGGCGGGATTGGCTACTGCAATTCCATGTGATAACAAGGGACTAGACCATATGGCGTTAAGAGGCTCCTCTAGTTCCGCATTCTTACAATAATGTGAAATTCACTTCAAAAAGTCTTCTCAAGGCTATCAGTGGCCATTGAGCTATCACAGGGCAGAGTGCGGAAGGAGGGTGTCTTTAGCTCAACTGTAGCTCATTCTGCATTTTAAAAGGACATGTCTTTACTAGAAACTCTGAATTCAGAGCTAGTGAACCTTGAAAAGGAACTTTGGCTCATTTCAGTTCATGGTGTGGAGTAGAAGTGTTGAATAGGTTGGCCTTATGCAAAGCAACTTTTTGTGAATTGCATCCTCAGAGAAAGGCTATTTATTTGACTTTGTTTACAGTGTAGTGAATTTTAGCCACAGCGAAGCAGAGTGATACGAGATTGTCCAACTGCAGCATAATACTCTACAGAGAAATAGTATGTGAATATGACAGACCACTCCTTTGAAGGCAGTGAGGTTTTTCGTTTGGAGGAGATTTAGCTAAATATGTTGGGGTTTGTTTAATTTTTCTAATAATGTAGCTTTTATAGACTTCTAGTGCAAAAGTCAATTGATAGTGGCCAAATCTAAGTTAAATTGTTAAAGAAATACAGTTCGGCATAGTCTTTGATAGCTTGTTAGGCTTTGTATGGCTTGTTGCATTCTAAGTAATGGTTGTTAATCTCCTCAGTGAGGAAGACAACACTGGTAATGTGCAAAAGTTGCTCTGTTGTATCCAGTATTGGTTCAGGTTGTAAGGAGTGGGTGAAACTTAAGAAGTCAAGTCAAGCTCTGAAAGACAGACATCTATACCAGTAATAAAGATTCAGGCTGACCAGGGTGTGGCTTACAGTTACAGGTGTACATTGGCCAAAATTTGGTCTGCAGCTGGAGTGTAGGCCCTGCTTTTCCAAAAAATTAGTATGTTTTTGGTTTGTATTTCTGGATAATGATTATGAAGTCAGAAACATGTGACTCAGATTGAATCTTTCCAGCATTTACTCAAAAGACTAAATATAACCCATATGTAGAAGTTTGTCTGTACATAGAAGTTTGTTTGCAGCTGTAGGCTTGGTTAAGAATTATTGATGTGAGAAACGACAGGTTTATTCTTCTGTAATTCATTCAGTTCTTCATATTTGACAGCATCTGAGAGAAACAATACACTTTTGTTCAGGCAGGTATGAGTGTGAATGTTTGACCTGCTAAGTGAAATCTTACCTCATTTTTTGTTTATATAGCCATTTTTCTGATCATAACAGCACTTATGTTTTTATTCCAAGTCAAAACAATTTTTTTTATTTAAATGTATGCCCAGCAGCTATAACAAAAATGAGAGAATTTTCTAGGCTAATTGTATCCTTACTGTGTTTCAGAGGCATCAACAAAAAAGGCATTAGGATATGTTTTCAGTGATCTTGCAAACAAACTGTCCTCAGATGTTCTTGTATTAAGAATTTGCCACAGTTCAGTCTATGTGTGGCCTAACAATGGTATGAACACTGTTCCAGAGCTGACTGATGATTCTCCTTGTAAGGAGATAAGGCGATTTATACAGTGAGTATATTTTAAAAATATATAATTTTTTCAATAGATTAATTTCATGTTATAGAAATTTCTCTTTCTGTTGATATTTCAGATTTGATCAAGATGATGAGACCAAACGAAAGCTTGGCAAAAAAAAGGATAAAAAGTTACAAGATACGGTACATGTCTCACCACACTAATAAATTATATCAGATGGTGTATCATTTAAAAATTTTTAGATCTCTCTCCGTAGGCTTTTCTGTTCACAAATAGACATTGTCATGACTTAAAAGAACCCTTTTAAAGTCATTGACACTTAGCATGAATGCAGAGATTCATCTACAGTAGATCAGCATGTAGAAATTTGTCTATAACATTACTAGCTTTTTTTAAACCCAATTATTTCATTACTGAGTTTGATACGAAATATCTGCAATCTTACTTTTGCCTTCTTGGTGCATGTGTTATTGGAGGTGTACTATTGGTGTCCTTATTCTCTGCAGCAGCAGGTAGTCAATATAGACCTCATGTTGGAAATGACGTCTTCATTAGCTGCTTTGGCTCCAGTCATTGAAAGGGAAAATAAGGAACACCACTACATTAATATGACATTACCAGTTGATGTTGTTGTATCTGTTTCTCCAGAAGAAACATGGGGAAAGTAAGTGTTATCCTGAGCTTGTAATTTTTCAGCTTCATTTCTGCTTTTTCTTGAAATAATGAAGTAAAGCTATCATATCATTAATCAGTTTAGTGAAGTAGCATGTAGTATTTTCGTACTGGAATTTTAACTTTATAAACAATGAAAGCTCCTAAAGGCAGTTGTTAGCTTTAATAATCTTGAGACACAATCTTTTTGCTATCTAAAAAAAATTCAGTTTAGCAATGTTGGATAGATTTGATAACTCGTAACTGTTGCTTAGCAAGGGATTGAGAAAGTCAGGAAAATGTTCTAAAAATTCTTGTAAGTACGTGAGTGTGCATAAAAGAGTGAGAGTTGGAGTATTTGATGAGTCTTTGTAATCTCAGTACTATGTTAAGGGCTGCAGCTGGGTAGGTGAAGGTGGAAAACATGAGTCTTCCTCTTTTTTTTTTTTTCTTGCTCTTTTTACATAGGATTTGACTCTGAAGGATGCTAAATGGGGTGGGGATAAAATGCAAAAAACACCCCCATATAGTCATATATGTGAGTTTTATTTCGGCAAATGCTCATAATGGTTGCGTTTCTGATACGAGACCAGGGTGGGTACCTGCTCTTTGGAGGGCTGGATCACCAGGGAGTAGTTGCTGTGTGCAGACATGCTTTGAGTAAAGCACAGTGAGGTTCTGTTTTTCTCTGTGGGAGTGGAAGCATGGAAATGCTAAGTTCATCAGACCAGGCAAATATGCCTAGAAGTGTTGTATAACTATCAGAGCTATGAGAGGAAATGATCCACCATCACTGTTCTACTTAAATATTCTCCCTTTTACTTTGCAGGGTACAGAATCTCCTAGTGAAAGCAATTCACGGGCAATTAACTGACATGGAAAGATGTATCATGAAATACATGAAGGGAACATCGATTGTCGTACCAGAACAATTTCATTTTGTGTTACCAGGAAAAAATCACCTTGTAACAATCTCGTATCCTACAGGTATTTCAGATGATCAGCTGGAAAGTTACAGAAAGGTAAAGCCAACAAATACTAACAGAACCTGTTTTGTTTTTTTTTTTAAATTATTATTATTATTGTAACTGAAGCAGTGGTAAAGCTTTTCATTTAGCCAATGTAGAATAAATACTAACAGATACTGCTATTTTTTTAATTTATTTTTATCATAACTGAAGCAGTATACTGAATGTGGAAGCTCGATTTATTAGAAGTTATTTTATAAAATGTGTAAGATCTCATTTTTGTAAGGGAACAATAGAAACTTTAAAACTACATAGGATATGTTTGAGATAGGTTTTATCTAAATTGTACTTCTGGTACTGTATTCTTTGAATTTCTCTGCTTCCATGGTAGATTGCTTGTAGTGTGTTTTTACTTTCAGGCTTCAACAGGTGTCCTGAAAGGGTTAGGGTTGGGGTTTTTTTGTTTGTTTTGGTTTCTTTCTTGGGGTTGTGTGTTGTTGGGGGTTTTGTTTGTTTGTTTTGGGGGGGCTGCTTTTTGCGGCTCACAGCTGATCAGCCTTAGCTAGCTTTTGTTTGGTTGGTTTTTGCCTTCTGGGTTGGCATATCTAGAAAAAGGAATATGGATGAGGTGGAAGAATGTTCTGATGTGGCAGTCCTTTCAGACTGAGAGGTGTACCTGGGAGATGGCAGTTCAGGTCACGCAGTTACACAAGCGGATTTCTCATTTTCTTCTTCCGTGTGAAGCATTACTGCGTATATAAAGCCTCACATATTCCTTGCATTTGCAGAGGCCTTAGGCATTCATGGCACGTTAAGTCTTTCCTGCTCTCTGTCTTCTCTTCACTTCTATCCACTGATTGCTAAGTGTTAGTGTAGCTAAGGTAGTTGGGTTCAGCGTTGGGTCATCGGCGTAAACTGTATTACCTGTATTACACACGTTATCCTAGATGATATCAGCATTCCTTTCACTCTTAAGCTCTGTGAAATAAGACAATATATCTCTTTAAACGTGGCTGCTGTGTTGTAAACAGTGTTTAAGAGATTTAAAAATAGGCTGAATCTGCTTAAACCATAAACTCAGTATCTGTACTTTGTCTCAAGTATGTAGTATTTGTATGTCTTCAATATTAGTTAAGATTATAATTTGGACTGTGTGTATCTATACTACTACATAGATAAAATTGTAATCCTTTTCTGTTACGGTGTATTTTATCATACTTTCATAAGACACTTGTCACTCGTGATACCTTCAGTGGGTCTCTGGTGGCAGGCATAATGTAACAGGACTCCATAAAATAGTGGGCCCTTTAGATAGGAGGTAAGCCTCCATGAGTTTCCTTTGAGAGGTGAGATCTAGTAGTAAATGTACATGCTGAATATTTAATTAAGCACATTTTAATATATTAATTTGCTAAACTATGCTATTAAAATTGTTTATGTCTTTATTGTTACTTACAATGTAATGTTTCTTTTAATCCAAAATTTGAATTGTGTTCTTTATTTTTATTCTAACTTGCATGTAGGAATTGCATGGGTTATTCAATCTGCCTTGTGACAGACCATATTTCAAGAGAGCAAATGCTTATCATTTTCCAGATGAACCATATAAAGATGGATATCTCAGAAATCCACATTTACATCTTAATTCACCTGGTACAGAGTCTGGTATGGTAAGTTTGAATTTAAACATTTGTAAGAAAGTACTTTTTATTTTACTTGAGATTTGTTGTTAAAAGAAGTAATTTAGATAGTCGGTATTGTATAGATGAGAAAGTGAAGTAACTGACTTGGCCTTTTAAGCAAAAGGGCTTCTCTGCACAAAATAGCATTGCTTTAGCTATATTTGTCCCAAAGAAATTGCTGCTTCTTGGAAAAGGATGTACATGTTTTTAGCATGTATTTTGAAAGTTTCTCAGAACCAGGGCAAGACACTAAAACTATGAACGATGGTGTTTAGGAGACAAAAACAGGAGGAGTAATCATGTGTGAGTAACAACCCTTCAATTCTCCCAAAGATTTGCAATCCCCAGCTGAAAGCTTTTACAGTGCAAGTGACAAGTCATATGACTTCTCTGAAAATTGATGCACGTGTATTCCTTTGTATTATCTCTTTCTGTGCAGGTTTATTTAGTACATGGCGTATATAGTTATCACCACTACATGCAGGATCGGTTTGATGACGGTGGTTGGGGCTGTGCTTATCGGTCTTTGCAGACAATCTGTTCTTGGTTCAAGCACCAAGGTTACATTGATACACCTATACCAACACACAAGGAAATTCAACAGGTACAGAACATTTAGGCAGATTAATTATTTTATGCACATTTGTCTGGAAAAGTTTGTCTAGGTTATTTTTAAAATACCAATTTCATATATTTTAGACTTCAGATTTGTGTGATATTTTTATCTCTTGAATGGAACTATAGTAGTTCTGAATTACTACTCTTAACAAGTTTTATTATAGGAGATCTGTCTCAAAATGTTTATCAGTGTCGGGTGACATTATCTGTACAAATAAGACTCATTAAAATAGTTTTCTAAATATTTCTTTGGATTAATGTTCTATTAGAAGCTCGAATTATGACATTTTCACTGTTTTTGTCAAATGAAAGAAAACAAAGAAGCCGATGTGTCATATTAAAATCAGTTTTAAAACTGACTTTTGTCTTCAATGACAGCTGGATTAGTCCCAGATGCTATGCATTGATTTACTGCTTTCTTTTGTAACTTTGTCTTTGAGAGTAGCGGTCTTTTCCTGTTCCTTTGAATTCTCCTTCACTTCTTTTTCTGTTGTGAATTCAAATGCATACCTGAATATGTTCATTTCTGTTAACACACTGAAGAAAAATTGTAGGCTTGGGTAGCCAATGTTGTATGCCTAACAAGAAATACTGCAATTATTTTCAGTCTTCTAAAAATAGTTCTTCGTGTTATATTTATTTACTGAACATTTTTAGCAACGTTTGATTCAGTCCATAAAACAACTTTCATCGTACTTAACAGGGATGTGAGCACTAAAGTTAAAACTGCATTTCCTGAATGTTTCTCAGTCCACTCCTAAACCTAAAAGCAACTGAAGTCCGTGCACTCCTGTAGTATTTTTAGACCTGTAGAAGAGGGCAGTAGCCTTCAGGAGACTTTGTGGGCTTTTATCCTCAGTGGAAAAGTCCCCTCTCAAGTGCTGCGTGTAACATACAAGCCTCAGAATGGAGAAGAGTTTAAAATAAACCACAACCTTCAGTGTATTTCAGTGGCCTCTTCCTCAGAACGCTATTTTCTGGATCCTTTTCTGAGGCGCTTTGAATGGGAATCCAGGTACTTCAGTCTGTGAAGTGGATTCTGCAGTGCAAATGATGCACTCCATTATTAGACAGCTCAGTGCTCACCCTCCCAGCCTGAAGTCTGCCTGTAGACCTGGGGTTATGTTCTGTGCTTGTAGGCACTGCTGTGTTAGTGTTCAAGTGACATTTCCGAAACAGAACCGCAATGAATGAATTCAATGTCCATTTGTCTGCTGTTGACTGGCTAGGTTCAAAACACTTTCCCATATATATAAACCAACTTGGTTCACAAAAAGTGGTGGAATTGCCTACTATATGTTGTTGACGTTTGTTTTTCTTCGTCATGATGTTGCAAAGGCACTGGTTGATGCTGGAGACAAGCCTGCAGCATTTGTTGGGTCACGGCAATGGATTGGTTCGATTGAGGTACAACTTGTTTTGAATCAGCTCTTTGGAATAACATCAAAAATATTATTTGTCAGGTAAGAATTAATACCTGTTCAATAGCTCAGTAATTATTAAAAAGACTGAATGCCTTAAATGCAAATTACCATTACAATACATTGGATAATAAAAGAGATGATAAATCTTTTAAGGGTTCCTTGTTCATAAACCTTGTATTCCTGCCTTTGGTTGTGCTAAGTGCTTATAAATGAAGGTGGTGTTAAATTTCGTGTGGGCTTGGGGTTCCAGTTGCTAGAAATTGCTTAATGATATGCAAACTGATGTGGAATTCAGCCTATTCCTTTGCATCTCAAACATAATTTTTGAAGCAGGCACACAGCCTGGCGGTCATAATGAACTGAATGCACACTGACAGTAAATTATTACTTCATCCACAGAGCTAACCCATCAGTTCAGGATTGAGACAAATTGCTGAGCAGCCTGGAAATAGTGTTCTCTTTTCTGGGTTTGTGTGACAGATAAAACAAGGAATTTATTTCCATTCTGATAATCTGACGCTCTCATACACAATAAAGAACCCTACAAGTATATTTAGGAGAAAAAGAATGATGTTCAGCATTTATCAGAATTAAAGTTACTGGATTTTTATCATTTAGGCAGCACTAAGCAGACTAACAAATCCCTAAACACTTTGTCAGAAATACAATCATGAAATAAAGAATATATACTAACTTAGCGTGTGTGAAAATTCTAGTCAAACAAAATACTACTCATGAGTTATGTTTATTTAGACTAGATTCTACTGTGGATATTCTAAAACAGCATGTGACCATGGTGATGGTGACTCTCAATGGCAGGAAAATAGTTCAGTTCTTCCATATTTTGCAAAGCTTTATACAGCCAATTTTAATCGTTTTTGTTCCAGAGCTTATATTTGCAGATGATCCGCCTATTATTTATAGCAGCTCTGACAAGCCCTGCCAGTATGAAGGTTTTTATTCCTGCACATAAGAACATCAAATAGATTCCTTTGTGAACTGGGTAGAATTGCTCATAGTGCTGCTACAAGAGGGCACCAATGTTTTTCAGGGTTATGAAAAGCCAACATTACCATGCTGAGAAGAAGTGTCATGCATCTTTTTCAGCTGGTCACTGGCAGTGGATAGCATTTTTCTAGGGCTTATTTCCAGCTAGCACGTCTAACTCTTTATGGAAGTAAGACTTCACAGCTGCACCAACAACGCTAGTACTGAATCCATTATTGTAAATGCACCATTGCCCAGAGTTCCAGTTTTGTATTCTGTCTGCATTTAATCCATCTCTCCAGGAGCTTGAGAAGCAAGCACATAGGCTTTCTTTGACTTTTCAAGAGGTTAACCACTATATGAAAGAATACAAAGACAAGAGAATAAAAATATCTGTATTAATTTCCTTGCCTAGCTTCTGTCACCACTTTTGGGAGCGCTGTCAGTCTTCTAAGGGAAGTATGAGTCTCCGTCAGACATATGTCTTCAGCTCTGAATCCTGGAGTATGTGCATGTATTGTGTGTGTGCCTTTCTCTTCCACGTAGACTTCTTTTGTCTATGGCTGGTCCCCATAGTTGACAAGGAAAGCAGGGAGATTATAACAAAGCTAAGTTCAGCGTTGCTTTGAACGGATTACAAATGTTATTTAAGATTTTATTTTCTAAAGCCAACTTGGGTATGAGTACTGCAATTGCTTGTGCCATTACAGTGGAAACCTGTCTTCAGAGACATCATTATAAACACCTTTATCAAGACCTTATTTTTGTTACGTTTCTGATGAAGTTCTGTTACTTCAGACTCCCCCCCGCCCCTTGCTGACAGACGTAGCCGGTCTGTTTTTCAGCCACTTGGAGGAAGCCATTGGGGTTTACTGGCTGTCCCCACTGTGGGAGACAAGCAGCAGACACTTCATAGAAGCTGGGTGACTCCAGGTGCTCCAGTGGCAACTGGGCTTACAGCAGATTCATTGGTCCAACCAGAACCTGTAAATTGCATTAAAAAACTTTTTTCCAGATTGTCCCAGGATGTTTACACAGAAAAACTCTTAAGCCACTTTCTAATCAGTTACCTATGCAGTTAATGAGTATAATGGGTAATTAGAGAATTAAGCCTAGTGAGGATAGCAAATCTATTGTTGTTTTTCTTACCTAGCCAGGGTTCTGAACTAGCGTTGCAGGGAAGAGAGCTTGCTAATCATTTCAAGACTGAAGGAACTCCCGTTATGATTGGTAAGTGCTCAAGTATCAAAGAATGCCAATGAAAGTGCGTGGCCTCCCTATGCTAAATTTCATTTCAGTTAGAACTAGTTCAGTTTACTGTACAAGAGTTAATCAAAACTCTAGATGAATTAAAAATTATGCTTCTCTGAAGGGAGCCTGGAAAATGATACAGTTTAGTCTGTCTGGTATTTTTTCACTCAGTATTTCTCCCAAGCTCAGTATTAAACCTGGTAACAAAAGTGAATCCTAATGGTGTTCTTAAAAACTGCTGTTAAAGTCAGAACTGGAGAGCTGACCTCTGCTCTCTAGAGGAATAGAGGTTCGTACAGTTCCCCAAAACTTCCCATCACAGAAGAGTAGTGTTTATCTAGCTTTGAAGAGAAGGGTATTACCCAAATTCTTTTTAAGATCAGTTTTAATAAACTGAAATGTTGGTAACATAAGAAATGGCATTCATAAGTATGCCGTAACTTTAATTGAGCTATTTCCAAGACAGCTGTGGTTTAGGAAATGAAGAATATTGAAAATACCATTTTCAGCTTTAATAAAATTTTAATTTTAGCAATTTTCACAATCAGTATTTGGCATTCCATAAAGATAGTGTTACTTTCTCAAATTAGAGGTGCCAAAAGTCCAGATTTTGGTGTGAAATATTCTTTCAGCAGCCTTTTTGTCTGAATTTCAAGAATGTAGAATCCTATATTGAAAAATCTTTTAGTCTGTAGCTTATCCTTCCCTGTAATGCTCTCTTGTGGATTGATTTAATTTTTGTTGTTGTTGTTGGGGGCGGGGGGCAGAGGTTGTCTTTTTGGGATGGGTTTGGGGGAGTTTTTTGCTTCTGTTATTTTGGGATTTTTTGCAATTCCTATTTGTGGTGTGGAGTCATTACTGCAGTATCCCAAGGATGTAAACTCTTCACGCTATCTGAAAGAAACATGCAAGAGTTGGCCTGTGGCCAGCTCATCAAAATGTCCCCTTTCCCTGTTTGCAGGCTAGAGAAAGGGGAGTCAGAAATTACTACTCTGCCCCTAATATCCATTGATGGAATTTAGTAGAAAACAGCAGATAACCCTTATCCAGAAATTCTGATTTCTGTTCTAATTTTAGTCCTTTTACAACCGACAAGTTTTCCAGATTCCTTTTCTACAGTTAAGTTTCTTTAAAGAAGAAGTGAGCAAAACAGATGTTTGAAATATTCTTGATTTCATCTGGTGGAAGTGCTGAGGATTTAACCTGCCTTGCTGACATGGAAATTTGGAAAGTAAATTCTCTAGTTGTAGTAAGTAAAGGAAGATAAGTAACCTTCTCTAGTTGTAGTAAAGATATGTTGTTTAGTAACGCAAAGAATCTTATGTGGGACAGCTTCAGAATCATTTTGATAACCAAGCTAATCTGTTAATAGAAAGTGTTGATGTTTGGTTTAGGCTTGCACATTTAGCCAATCTCAGTGAAAAATTTTTAGCAATTTGTCTTTCTCCTATTTTAGGTGGAGGTGTTTTGGCTCACACGATACTAGGAGTGGCTTGGAATGAGATTACAGGGCACATAAAATATTTGATTCTAGACCCCCATTACACTGGAGGAGAAGATCTGCATGTTATTTTGGAAAAGGTAAGGCTTGATGCATATGCACATAGAGAGAGAGAGAGAGAGAGAGAGATACACACACACATATGTATATACATATATTTTGGCATTAAACAAATAAAGTACAGCCAAATACAAATCGGCTGTTCTATGGCTTCTCCATTCCTTATGGAGGAAGTGCTGATCCCAGTTAACTTGCATATATACTTATTGGTAGTTTCTGAAACTTAGTGTCTTCGGAGAAGATATATTGGGTCAGCGACTACATAAAGTTATTAGAGTACAAAGAAATGTTCTTTACTTTCTCTGAATTAAACCATCCCCCTTTTTACCCAGTAGTATATACAATAAATGTGTTTGATATTTTGAATGGAGTAGAAAAATCTGTTCAGCCTGTAAAATGCTGTTACTGAAGCAGAGGAGATTTAAAATTTTAAAAAAATTTTTAAAAATCCAACACTAGGCATTGTCAAATCAGGCCTTGAACTAAGTTGAAAGGGCAGGTACTGAGCTGTTTTGAAAATCTGGGAAACTAAATGGTATGTAATGTTATTTCGGTATTTAAAGCTACTAAAAGGGATGATATGGCACATTACAAAACAGTAAACATAGTGTCAGAAACTTAAACTGTGAAAGTGGCTAAATCATCCTATAGGTGTTAAGTAACCAGTTGCTTTTCTGTTCTTCATATTAAGTTGTAAATAGCAACTTTTATTTCATATCTTTATTTAATACCCTTGGGTTGGGCCCAACTAGAAAAGCTGTTGAAACGTTTTGCTAGCCCCATAATGTTCAAAGCTTGAAATGAATACAGAAAGAAACAATTTCCAAAGAACAGGCAGAGCCAAAGGCTGTTACAGCTGCAAGGTGTTCAGGAATGGTCGATGCAGAATCCCTTTTCCTCATCAAAAGTGGCAGGGGAGGGGAGGAACTGAGGTGGACTGTAAGTTTGTAGCTCTTTTCTTCAAAAACACCTCATATAATTATGTGGTACTCTGCAAACTTAAGAGCTTTGTTAGACTTTTTCTGCTAAATCATGATCAACAGCACACCTTCTCATATTAAGAGCTCTGTTTGGCTCTGAAATATCAACTGTTATCGAAGAAGGCAAGGATTCAAGACGAGAAATGGGAACAGTGAGAATGATAGAGTTTCAGAATAATATTAGTCTCTCTGTAGCAGCAGAAGCTAGTGGGGAGGGCGGGAGGGAAGAGATGCTACTTTTTAGGAACTGAGCTGGGGTAGGGAGGGAAGAAGGGGGAGAGAGAGACTCTGTAAAGTGTTTTCTGTTAATGTGTTTCCAGGCATGTAGAGAACTTTCTGAAAATTGCGTGTCATTGCATTCTATAGAAATTTGAAAAGAATGCATACAGCTTAGATTAAAATTAGTAAAATAAAACACATCCAATAGTAGTAGATAGGAAAAACAGAATTCGTAGTAGATTTAAATGCTATCTTGCTTTTTCTTGAACAGGGCTGGTGTGGATGGAAGGGCCTGGAGTTTTGGAACAAGGACGCCTATTATAATCTGTGCCTACCTCAACGACCAAAAACTATTTAAATTCCACTCTTATGCTGGAACATGCTAAGCCAGAATACTAGCTGATCTAGATACAACTGTATTGTTATTTATCAAAATAATGCTTTAAGTCAATCAAAACCCAGTTGAAATAGGAATGTTGCTTGAGTTATTTAAATTAAGAAATTTTTTTTTTAAAATGAAACCTCTAAAAATAAGAGTTGTCTGCTGGGAACTGTATTTCTTACAAATACATTTATTGGGTAACTAATACTCTTTTCTTTTGGCTAGGACAACTTTATGTTTATATAGCATTTTTTGTTATGCTAAAATCTTTAGAGATTAAATGCCCAATCCTTTTATTTTATGGAATTCTTTCTTTCAAAAAGATGAACTGTCCCCTACCTTTCAAGTTCCATATAGCCAGCTGTCTTATGCGCTATGGATCTGTTCAAAGGCATCGTTTGCTGCTGGTACTGTTGATAACAGCATTTTAGAAGAGGAGTGGGAGAAAGATGGCTATATGTACTGAATTGTATGAACTTCGTTCTCATCTTTACACAGGAAAAAAAAGTGAGAGAATTAATTGTTATATGCTCATTTATTTATAGCTGTATGAATACAACTATTCTAGGGAAAAAAAAACCCAACACAACAGTCTTCTGTAAGAAGTAAAAACAAACGAGCTTTCCTCCTTCTCAGAAGGAGACAATGTACCAGCATACACATCTGGCTGCTCAATGCATAGTCGAGTCATGTTTCTTCAGACTTCGGATTCCCCTTGATTTAATTTTTGGGATTACAAGCTGTTTCTTTTGTCAGCTAGGAGACAAGATCTGTCATATGACCAAACAAGAGTAAGTCTGTAGCTACTCCCTTCCCCCCCCCTCCTTGTTAAAGTAGACTTTTTGGTGGCATTCCCCATGTACTATCCATTTTTGATAAGACCGTAACCTTAAATATCTATGCAAGTTGATCTTTACTAGCAGGCTTCTAAGTGCAACTGCTGTGTATCTAACACCAAATTTATTTACTTAAATGCTAAAATCGTTTAAAAAAAAAAAAAAAGAAAAATATCTGAATTGTAGTAAACCAACAGTATTACACACCATCTGATCTTCTCCTCTTCCTGCTTACGGATCTGCTGCTTTCACTTTCTTGTTTCTGTGCAGCTAGATCCTCTCTGGGCAAGCCACGTTTGTCACTTAGTGAGTAGCCAGGCTGTCCTCTCATTTTCATTGTCTGAGTGTGCTGAATTGTTGCGAGGAACTTGGCACATTCCAGAAAGCCATAAGCCAGTGCGAGGTCTGCTGCTGTTTGTCCACTGTTGTTGCACAAGCTGAAACATAGAATTAAAAATAAACATTCAATTAAATTGAAATACATATTATGAGCAAGTACTGCTCAAGATTAATTAAGTGGTACTTTAGACAAAGGTATAAAAATCAGTACAGAGAATCACTACCAAGAAGGCTTGTCAAGGATAGTGTGGGGCTCTACTCGTACAGAGGGCTGGTATTAAATGCAACAAGGAATAATTATTTTAAAATAAATTTATCAGACTGTGACTGGCTAAAACTAACGAGAACTTACGATCAGGAATATTCTCTTAGCAGTTACTAGAGAGGTTTTTAATGTGGAACTAAATAGCAGCATATGGTCTATGCTACTTTGGTGTTTATGTCTATAGCAGTTTTTAATGCTGCTCTTATGACTATAGTCATGCTATATTTACAGTCTTAGCATGCGCACACTCTGAAGAAGAAAAAGTACTGCGTAAAATACATGTATCCTTTGAATGAAATTACTAAATGTAGCTCAACTTACTCAATTTTGGCATCGCCAGCAACAAGGAGAGCAAGGCATTCCAAACTCCCAACTTTTGCTGCTTTATGAATTGGGGCTTCTCCAAGGCAGTCCTAAAAACACAATTTATATATAGCAGTCATTTGAAGGAAGGGGAATAGGATGAAGCTATTGTGTTCTCCAACATGACTGTTTACAGAATGTTACTCTGTATACCAGTCTGCTGTGAGTTGAGAGAGAGATTAAAGGAAGATAGCTAGTAAAGTGTACTCAATAACTGCCATTACATGTATTTATCACAGCAAAGTAGAAATACTGCCCTATGCAATACTCGTTGTTTAACCTTTACCTTCTAAAAGATTATTTACACAGAATACGCTCCGTACACTGATTAACGGCATCTTTCAGCACCATTCAGGGATTGCTGTGACCAACAGCTTGCTGCTACCAGCTCAGAGGTATGAGCAAATTAAACTTTGCAGCTAGAGGAAGAATCCTTATGTTTACTGGAAGTAGGAGCAAAATTTGCGAGGAAAAAGGAACACTCATTTGTGTAAAAGAAGTTCTTTTGACATCTGCATGCAGCACTGTAAGTGTGAAAATTGCATTATACATAGCAAATTAAATTGCTAATGCATATAGACAGGATTTCTGGTTCATGCTAGAATAAAGTTACTCTAAAATAAGCAACCCCAGATACCTCATGCAATACAACTGTGTATATAAAACCTCTCTTAGGTAAAAAAAAAAATGTAAATAATATAAATTGGATTTACTGACATGCCAGATTAGAAGTGGGAGAAACAAAACTTCTGTATTTTTACCTGTTGGTTCAAATTCGCTCCTGTCTGCAGTTGCCAAAGTAGGAAAAAAGCTTCACCGCCACAAGCAGCCAAGTGAGCTGGAGACTGACCAAAGGCATCTGCAGGTGCGTTCACACCGGTTCCTGCCTCAAACAGATTGCTGAAACCACCAGACTAAAATAAACACGATACCAAAAAACAAGTACAATGTTAATGCCAGTCTAAGTCTTAAGAAAGCAGAAAACATCCCGCTCACACACATCATCGGACCTTTATGTTCCTTGAGAATGCCCTTTTTAAAAAAAGCAATCCAAGCGTGGCTCTTTTGGCTTTTAATCCCTTACCCAGATCGATGTCGGCAGTGCCCCAACATACCTAGCAGCAGCTCCAGGCAAACTACACTTCATACAGTTCCGTAGCTGGGCTCCCGGTCAGACAGAAGCAACAGACC